CAAATTGTGTTAAACTGACCTAAATTTCATAAACTAATTCTGTCAAAAGCAATCCATCAAATTGTTTTCATAGCTTTAGTACTAGGTAACTTAAATTGATTTAATATACATTTTTTAGTCTAAATTTTTTTTCCTAAGCTGACCTAAGGTTCATAGACTAAAGCTGTGAAAAAAATTCCATCAAAATGATCTTCTTATCTTTAGTACAAGGTAAGTTTAGTTAATTTGAATCCACGTTTCTTAGTCTAAATCATTTTTCGATCTCTGATCCAATCTTGAGCGTTTTTTAAGGGAATAACACAAAGACATCTTCAAAAACGGTTGCGTTCAATCAAAAAGTTGGATATTGCCTTAGCAGCAACTGATAATGATTTAAGCTAGACCAATTTTATCTGCTAAAACTAGAGAAACGTTAGACAAAGAAGTACTTAATTGAAAAGAAATTGTAGTTCAATAGTTGGCTGGTACCCAACAACATTTTTTTATATGTGTTGTGTATTTCTAGATAAAACTGAATGGATTACAATTGACTATAATTTTGAGCGATTAAAAGTTATTGATCCGAATTTCAAAGAAAGCGGAATAATTATGCTTGGTGCAGTTTGTTTTATTCAGTAAATTTTTGGCGGTCGAAATAAAAGTTTTCGACAAAAAAATTTACCCCATTGAACATGTTGACTTCATGAAACCAAATATTATGAAAAAGTATTTCACCTCTGATCGTTTTTTACAAAGTTCTGGGAGTTTGAAAACTGCCAATTTGGCCATGCTCGGAACTAATTTAAGCGCGTTTTGAAGGCTTTATTCATAATCTCGAAAACGTAAAGCGAATTTTTGTTCTGACTTTCGTAACGAACGTAACGGAATATTTGTGCTCGGGTGGTTTTTTTCTTCGGACAATATTAGACTTTTTTAACTAGCACTTTTTTTATATCATTTGAAATTTTTTGTTTTCCTGAGCTTAAACTTGAAAAAAAATTCATCTTTGATCATTTTTCGTAAATTATGGGGTTTAAAGATTGCCAGTTTGGCCAATTAGGGACAATTATCGCGCGATATATTTCGCGCTATTAACGCGTAAGCGTAGATTTAATCCGTCATAGAAATCATTCTAAATTGATTGAAGGAAGCTTATGTGCCATAACTGATTTGTCACTAGGAGCAAATTTCATCTTCTTGTATTTTATATGGCGTGTGGTGGGATGATTTTCACAAAAATCGCAAAATTTTCTAAAGAAATTTCGTTCTTTTTATGATTAAATTAAATTTTTTTTCATGTTATTACTGCTCCATAGTCCCTAAACGGCAGTCGGAATTTTCAGGGCTTCGCCCTGATACGAGCAGTCTTGTTTATGCTTTGCAGATCATCCCGCAAAACAAAATTATTCCAAATTGAATTGAGGCTAGCTAATCAGATCAGTCGTATTATTTTCATACGACTAAACATTTCACAGTTTGATTTTGTCCAAAGTTTATAGGTTTTTAATATTTTCATTTCTCAAAAACTATTTGATATGGATTAAGGGGTAGTCGGAACATCCAGGGCTTTGCCCTGATATACGGGTAGGGTAGTCTTGTTTTGGAGTATGCAGCTCGACTATTGTGTACACGCAAGTGTCGAACAAGTTAATGTGACATTGGCTGTTCAAATCCAGACAGCTCTTTACTTCTTGCTAAAAAAGGTTTCATGAAAGTTTCTTACCAAATTCATGTTAAAAAAAACTTCTTGCAAAACAATGCTCTACTTAGATATTTAGCAAACGCTTTCGCCAAAAACTTTGAAAAAAATTATGCTTTTCTCTTCAGAAATAAAGATTTGTTGGAGCGAGTTATTGAATGAAAGTAAACTCCATCACAATGAAGAAATAAATCAACATGCAAAAAGGGGCTCTCTCATTCCTCTCATATTTGAGTGTCTTTCTGTTAAAAAAAACAATAATTAACATATTGAAGAGAACGACGATAAACAAAAAAATCTGAATTTTCACATCCCGGGTTGACCTCCATAAACCGAAAGTTCTTATCGTACAATTCCATACATCAAGTGTATGGAAAAAGGTTTGACATATAAATTTCGTACAATTTCAAATAATGATTGAAAAAAACTAGAAACTCCATTCTGCGGCTGTTTGATTCTAATAAAACAGCCTTGTAATGAAAAAACCGAGTTTTTTTTGAAAAAAAAAATGCGTATCATACAACTCCCATAAATGAAAATTGTATGATTAGCAATTTTTTGATTTGAAGTAATTTTGAATTAAACCCATTTTTTTCCCACCGCAAATCGAACTTTGTACTCACACCAATATTTTTTAAAAAAATTTTTGGATGCAAAGTTAATTTTTTGTGTGCATAACGTAGTCCTGGATACACTAATTCTGTGTGTTTCCTTTTTGTTGAATAACTTTTTTGAAAAAGGCTGAAAACTCCGACTTTTTTCGAATGGCTTTTTAATGTTTGCCCTCATCAATAACTGATATTTAAAAAAAATGAATTTTGACAAAAATTGCAAAATTTTCTAAAAGAAATTTCGTTCTTTTTATGATTAAATTAAATTTTTTTTCATGTTATTAATGCTCCATAGTCCCTAAACGGCAGTAGTAATTTTCAGGGCTTCGCCCTGATAGAGCAGTCTTGTTTATGCTTTGCAGATCATCCCGCAAAACAAAATTATTCCAAATTGAATTGAGGCTAGCTAATCAGATCAGTCGTATTATTTTCATACGACTAAACATTTCACAGTTTGATTTTGTCCAAAGTTTATAGGTTTTCAATATTTTCATTTCTAAAAAACTATTTGATATGGATTAAGGGGTAGTCGGAACATCCAGGGCTTTGCCTTGATATACGGGTAGGGTAGTCTTGTTTTGGAGTATGCAGCTCGACTATTGTGTGCACGCAAGTGTCGAACAAGTTAATGTGACAATGGCTGTTCAAATCCAGACAGCTCTTTACTTCTTGCTAAAAAAGGTTTCATGAAAGTTTCTTACCAAATTCATGTTAGAAAAAACTTCTTGCAAAAAATGCTCTACTTAGATATTTAGCAAACGCTTTTGGCCAAAAACTTTGAAAAAAATTATGCTTTTCTCTTCAGAAATAAAGATTTGTTGGAGCGAGTTATTGAATGAAAGTAAACTCCATCACAATGAAGAAATAAATCAACATGCAAAAAGGGGCTCTTTCATTCCTCTCATAAGTGAGTGTCTTTCTGTTAAAAAACAATAATTAACATATTGAAGAGAACGACGATAAACAAAAAAATCTGAATTTTCACATCCCGGGTTGACCTCCATAAACCGAAAGTGCGTATCGTACAATTCCATACATCAAGTGTATGGAAAAAGTTTTGACATACAAACTTCGTACAATTTCAAAAAATGGTTGAAAAAAACTAGAAACTCCATTCTGCGGCTGTTTGATTCTAATAAAACAGCCTTGTAATGAAAAAACCGAGTTGTTTTTGAAAAAAAAAAATGCGTATCATACAGTTCCCATAAATGAAAATTGTATGATTAGCAATTTTTTGATTTGAAGTAATTTTGAATTAAACCCATTTTTTTCCAACCGCAAATCGAACTTTGTACTCACACCAATATTTTTTAAAAAAATATTTGGAAGCAAAGTTAATTTTTTGTGTGCATAACGTAGTCCTGGATACACTAATTCTGTGTGTTTCCTTTTTGCTGAATAACTTTTTTGAAAAAGGCTGAAAACTCCGACTTTTTTCGAATGGCTTTTTAATGTTTGCCCTCATCAATAACTGATAATTAAAAAAAACGAATTTTGAAAATAATCATGGTTGAAAATTTTTGGCCAAAATATAAAGTTTGTTATTTTAATTATATCATTTGTGAAAGACAGCGTCAAGACAATTCCGGTTGCTTTCATGCATTATAAATGCAAGACCGTCCAACCTTTGCTGCTTTGAGTAAACCAAGGTCTTTATTACTTGCTTTCGGTTACGAACCATTTTCAGAAATCATTTTTGGAAAAAAAAATTAAAAGTTTTTGTAAATGGAAAAACGCTTGCCATACAGTTTTCATTTATGGAAAAAAGCTTATCATAGAGATTTCATACAGTTTTCTGTACGTATGGAATTGTTTGCTAAGAAATTTTTTTTATATGGAAATTGTATGATAAGAAGTTTTGGTCAACCCGGGATCGTATGATATTCCACATTTAGCCATGTTATTACATATAATAACTATGAAACAAATTATTTTAACATGACGGGAGGCGAAGTGGAAAAAGGCAGCAGCATGTTCTAAAAGTTAAGAAAAAGATACTCGGGGTTTTTTTGTGGTGTCGGACATCAGGCCGACTGGACGTCACGCCAAATCGCAGTATCAGTCGCGCGTTTTGAATCACTAAAAACTTTTTTTGGAAAAATTTCCATATTTCAGCTTTCTTTTATATTATTGCCTTTTTCATACACTTTGACCCTTTAATTGAAGTTCAGGAATTATCAGAAAAAAAATTGATGTTAGAGCAATTTTTTCTTTTGTATAGTTTATGCGTTTCAAAATTTGGCTGATTTAACTAGCGGATGCATCCTTGAATATTGCATTGTTACGCATAACCACCATCACGAATTAAATTTGCTCGATTTTATAAAACCATAAGATTACAAAAGTTCCAAAATGGTTGGCTATATTTCGGCCTCAAGTGCCTTCGGCTTCAAAAACAATCAGCCTACTGTCCTAGACATGATTTTTTGAGTGCACATAGTCTTTCAAATTCATACAAAACTTTTTAAAGGGTTTGACTTCCATTTATGCCAGAGTACTCAAATTTCTCTTTGAATGATCCACCAACATGTCTATATTACCATGAAAAAAATATTGTGAGATTTTACTTCTTCAAAAACTTCCAGTATTTCAGGATGTAAAGACGCCAATGTGTTTTCATATTAGAAAAAGTGAGTTTTTTATTGAAAAAAATTATATTTATTATAATTGTTACAAGATAAAAACCGCCGATAAAAGTGATTTAAACTTACCTTTCTGATCTCATCAATTACGACATACTAGTAATCGTTAATATAAGCGTTGGAAACAAGCAAAGTTGAAAGAAATCGGCAGATAAACATCAGGTAAAGGTAAACGAGAAAGAATAAAGAAAGTTGGTAATATGTTTTCAATCCCGTCGGATGCGATATCCATTTTCCATGAGCGAAGAATGTTAAAAGTGAGGATAAGAAAAAAGCGTTAACTGTATTTATTATAACATAAAACTGCGCATAGATAATTTTATTATTTTTTTTATTTTCAGTCATACATACCTAATGTGTAGTCGATGAAATATGACAACAGATACACGGAGCTGGGGTAAAAGAAATCTTAAGCCTACAGTAGGGCCACTTTTGGTGAAAAGTGCGTTCTAGCCCGAAACAGCACCCTATGCTGTGTAACGTCTTATTCCATACACATGGTTAAGTTAACCTCTAATATAATTTTTTTCTTATACTCCCATCCACTGTTGTGACATTGGTATGTCCTATCGACGCATAGAGAAGTAAAATAAGAGAAAAAAATGTGCGATTGGTGGTTGCATATATTTTGTGCACCATCTTATTTTTATATCCCATCACTGGGACAAAAATATTTAATTTTGCAGCTTCGACTTATAAACTATTGCTCGCTATTATACCTTTCCATTTTAAGTAGTACTCATAGATGCATGTAGTGTTAAGCAGAACAAAATTTATCAATTCAGTGGGAAATGTTTCGTTTATCTTATCATAATTCAGGTCCATTTTCCTAAGCAGGTTCAAAAACTGCAGAAAGAATAATTGCTGCAACTGTATTTCAGAGCCAGTCAACCGATGTCGTTGCCAACCATGGTTATGAAAAAATGAATTATTTTACTTTTAAGCGATGTCAGACAAATCCCCATAGCCTTAAACTCGTTACTTAAATTATAACTGACTCTTGAGAACATAATAATCAGGCAAAATTACCTAAACTTAGTCAAGTAAATCAGACTTACTTTTTAAAAGTATTTTTGTCATTACTGTGAGAAATGGAGAAATGTTATAAGACGACCTTGCCCTCTAACTAAGAATCATAGACATAATAATGAATTTAGAAAAGAGATACAGAGATGCAGAGATACAGAGATACACACACACACACACACACACAGAGAGAGAGAGAGAGAGAGAGAGAGAGAGAGAGAGAGAGAAAGACACACAGAGAGAGAGAGAGAGAGAGAGAGAGAGAGAGAGAGATGAGAGAGAGAGAGAGAGAGAGAGATCATAACGTAAAATAAATACGGTACTGACAAGTAGTATTTTTATCTCAGAAATCAAAGCATCAACTTAGATTATTTTACCGACCTATCATAGTAGCAGGAGCTAGTTATTCTAACCAAAAACGAGTGTGTCAACCATTAAAGACACACAATTAGAAAAAAGATAAAAAAAGAGGAAGGTCATCGAAAAAGTATGATCAAAAAGATCAACACCTAAACCCAACAAGTACGATGTACTAGAAGACATTGAGAGCAATACGATCACAATAAAATAGCAAAGGTTTCAAAGACGAACTTTACAAGAAACCAAATTTCGGCCCTCAAGTGAATGTGTCCACAAGTGATTCTACCAGTAATTAAATAGTGGATGGCACAGAGAATGCAAAAGTGAACAAAACAAAGAGCCAAAACCATAGAACCCAACTTGAAATTGTTAAAAACTCAGATTGAAGAGAAGACAACACAACCTCAGAAATTAGCCCAACGAAATGAATTAATGGAAGAATCACAGCCACAGTTGTTCGCACCCATCAGTGTACAAAGATCATTTAAAAGGAAAGAAATGCAGGTCCCGCTGTTGAGGACGAACTCCCTTGATAAATATACCCAAAGAAAAAAATCAGTGGTGGAGAGGGTTTGTACAGATTGACGTGAAGATTGAAGCAGCACACATCCGAATGAACGGGTTTCAGTACCCAAAAAAAATGAGATAGCAGTTTCTTTGCCAAAAATTATATCATATAATAATGAAGGTTAGATAATCTCATACGAATAATGGATGAAAAAATGCTCAAGAACACGTTTTTAAAAAGTCACAGTATTATCAAAAATGAAGAACATGTGAAGAACAAATGATGTATCCTGCGACCAATACATCAATAATATGAAGTATTATCGTGTTCCAACCTAGATAACTACTCACGTGCTCCAACCTAGATAAAATTACATAAAGGAACATAGAAAGTGATGCCAATTGTGCTCGAACATATGACGAGACGATTCACAAACACTACTGAACAAACAGCAGGGGATAATATGAACAATAGAGGATCTAATAGAAGTCGAGGAGCGGTAGCTATAAAGGGGAGAGTATCAATCAAGGCTACAATTGTGGATTAGAGGGAAACTTCGCCATGGATTGCAGAACTCCGAAGCAGAAAAGACTAAACTTTAGGAGTCGACAGAGGCCTCATAACAAGCAATTAAAGAACAGATAGAAGGTTGATCAATAATATATTGCACACGGGAATAGATATCTACAGATCAATTATTTTTTTTGAAAAAAATTAACAATAACAAAAAAAGAACTATCAAAACAATTTGAACACTTTGATGGAAAATAAGACCGCATTGAGAAAAGAAACTGAATAAGATTTAGACAAATTTCCCTGGTGGTGCGTGAAGACATTTTTTCTTCAGATAAAATTACCACAGAAAAAGAATAGAACGATAGAAACTCAAAATGTCTCAGATTTATAAATGACTCAAGGGCAGCGAAAACAACGATATTTTAAAGATGCTTCACAGATAATGGAAAATTAATTGATACCAATGAAGGGTGTGACTTACAAAACCAAAAACAAGAAAGTGAGCAAAGTTTCAATTTCGGCAGAGGGATCCAATCAAAACCATATGTCCTATACATTAAGCAGAAACTGAATTCGAAAAACTTTTGTCGCCTAAATAAAATGGACCTAAAGTATATCGCGGACTGACACATCAGATTTGATCTTACTTCTCATTGAAAATTAAAAACTTTTTTTTGATAACTCAATAGACAGGATCGTAAGAACAAATCAATGAAATGAATCAGAAAGTTGTAGGCTTGTGCATTGAATAAACAAAATTATAAAAGAGCGAACAGCACCAACAAACTCTCTTTTCTAAAAAGTATCGACTTTAACCAGAGCGTTGCGCTATATCGATTCGAATGCAAAGACTCTAAACAAAACAAAAAATAACCAGCTTACACATGATTGATGAATTTTCACGACCGAGTGTTGGATCATTCACTCCGTCAAAAGAACCAAGAGCTGTTATGAATGCGATAAGTTTGAATTGGTTTAATAAAATTGGCCCGCTGCCATATCATTCCTGCACGACCTTGAGAGATAGAAATTTTTTTTTGATGTTCTCACTTTACTAATGAATTCAAGTTTTGGATGCATAATCAAAACAGCAGCAATATATGCGTTTTTTTCAATCGGTTAGTAGAAAGACACAACGGTATGCTCAAAAACATTATGAAAAGCCGTAAAAAAGACCACAATTTGTTAGAAAGTCTTTATAAAAATTGTTTGCATATGCCATCAAGACAAATAAAAATGACGCCTATGGACGTAAATGGTGTGTCACCATTGCAGAGATTGTACGGATTAACTTCTGCAACCAACATACTGAACCAAAAAAAACTCCAAACTGTTGCGACGTTGAAAATAAATTTTACGACGTTGAACTGTGTTGCGACGTTGAACTGAAAGAAATTTTAGTTGTGATTTTAACAGATATAAAGAAAACTAAATGATCAAAACAAAATTGTGAAAAAAAAGAACGAACAAAAAATTAGCTAATCATACCAGGCTTGCGATTTAATCTTTTTATACAATAAATTTTTCCATTTTACTTGAATACCTAACAAATTCTCAAATCTGCGAAAAACATTTAAAAACAGAACATGAGTAGGTGATTGTGATGAATAAAATATCAACAAGAGATTAACCACAAATTAGAGACGAGACGAGACACCAAATCGAAAAGGAAGCTATCATTTTTTTTTACCACAATGAGAATATGGGGATATGAATTTGTGAGAAAAAGAGATGAAAATAGCGGAGAAAATCGAACTGCAGACAATGATTACAAAACAAGGCAGAGAAATAACAGTAAACCGCCTTTAGAAGACAAAACAGCAAACAGAAGACGAGACCCAGAAGGAGCAGCAAAGAAGACCCACGCAACTATACCGGATCAGGAATAAGACAGTACAGATCTGAAATAACCAAGACGGAAACAGAAAGGGGTAACAAAAGAAGTTAAAAAAACTCCGAGAAAATCGACTGACCAGAGACTACAAAAAAACAGCTAGAGACAAACAGCAAGTGCAAGAAGCAGAACCAAAAAACCATGGAGTGAACTCGTATGCTGGAGGACTTGTAAAAAGACCAAACAGAAAGACCAGACCAGTTGAAGACGAGATACAATACGGAGGGTATCCACTGGCGATGAGACTAAAGTGAAGCGGATCAGGTGAGACGAGAAGAACTTCAATTAACCACTAATCAAAGGGCTGAAAAGAAAACGCAAAACGTACCAGATACGGCGAACATATTCGCTCGGGGATACCCACAATTGTCGCAGCCACGTAACCAGCTACGAAGGAGAAGCTCGATATGTGCTGGAAAACTTTTGAGATCGCAAGACAGTAGGAACTATAGGGGTGGAAATTATACCAAGTGATCAAAGAAGTGTTCCAGCCAGCAAAGTAATCAACAGTGAGCACAACGTTCTCAAAAGTACATTTTTGGACACCTGGAAATTGCGAAGAATGGCGCCAGGGAACCAAAGAGTAGACTGACGACCAGAGACTATATGGAGAAGAAAGAAAATCAATTTTTAGACATTTACGCTCCAACGATCTCCAAAACTGCCTTCTATTTTGCCGCAGATTTAATATCGCTCAAAGAAGTTGACTATTTTGCTCTTTGGACTTAAGTTAAAGTTTTCTGCAGTCGAACAGCATTTGTCGACCAGTTTATATTTCCGCACCAAGAGAAGCTGGATCATGGATAGAAACCTGGATGGAAAATGATTATGGCTGCGTACGGACTAGCAGATAGAGCAGTTGACTGTTATACAACCAAGGAATGCAGTATAATCTATTGCCTTTCTCAGTAACAAGGCAACAACATAAGGTTGCTATCGCTATAAGTAGACGATTTGATATTTGCAGGAACTGAGGAATATCACGCTAAGGTAAAGATAGCACTGCAAGAATTGAAGGCAGGGCCCATGAAAAAAGCAAGTTTCGAATTTATGGAAATGAAAATCAGCACAGCGACGGACCGGGAAAATAGACATTATAGACGAAAACTTCTTTCAGCAAGAGAAATCAGTGGAATACACGGAATTGTCGGCAATCATGAAATGGATATAAGCTCAGAACAATTCACACTAGCGCGAGGTCCAATAAGACAACTACGATGGAAAACTACGATATCTAGACCTGACTTAGCGAAAAGACTGAAGGACTCTCTGTCA